TCTCTCTCTCTCTCTCTCTCTCTCTCTCTCTCTCTCAGGGATTACTTCTGTACTCTGGGAACTGAAGCCTTTAAAATGTGCAGTTCTGCATACTTTGCATGTAGGCGACTGCTTCTAACAGCTTAAAACTACCTTCTAAAATCAAAGGACCCTGTGTCTTGCCACTTCCGGTCTAGGTAGACAGCTGAGCACTGAGCAGAGATCAGTGACTGGTCCTGGAGGGTAGGGCTTAAACTGTTTGAGCTGAAACCTGTTTGCTGGGGCACTGCCTTCAAACGGTACTGCAGAGTCCAGCTTGAGGCCCTCCACCATTGCAGCAGTAGCCAGTTTCCAAACTATTGAGTGTCAAGAGATCAGACCCAATGGGTAGCTTGTGTTGGGTCAGTTCTTGGCACAAAAATCCCTTTTGCAAGTAAGAAAGCACATTCTGCCTTGGTTTGCAAGAGAAAATACGCTCCATTTTGGGGGGCTACAGGAGCATAACCTAGATCAGAGGGAATAGTGGAAGGAGATCGTGAATGGTTAGATGCCGCTGGGAGAAATGTCTGATTAGTTGTTTCCAATATAAGCCCTGGGCTTAATGACCTATGTGCTTGTGACCTGCGAGCCGGGGCAGAGGGAATTTGGGCTTATTTTTCTGGGTGTTTGGTGTTCCACCAAACCTTAGTCTTATCTAACCTTAGTCTTATCTCTCATTGAGTCAAGCTATCGTTTGAAGAGGCTATTAAAAGGTTATCTATGCAAACTAGAGTAGGGCAAAGTTCTGGCTAGCCAAATTAATTTCCATAAAAACTCCTCTCTGAAGGCTGCTTAATCAGAATGTGTTTATGTTGCAGTAATGCCCGCTGGCCCCGAAGAGGGTCAGGGCCTCATCGTCCTGCATGTTGTCTAGACAAAGATTGTAAGTTCTGCAGGGCAAGGACTGGGCTGAAGTAATAAATGATGTTGGCAAGGGGCTGGGGCCGGGGAGAGAAACACACAATATTTATGTGCCCTTGTTGTGCCCCTATGTGCCTCCCAAGGTAGCCATTACCAAGTTGATTTATCAGCGCGGCAGTTGAACTGGATCTCCAGGAGAAGAGTAGCCTTGGGGATCTATGCAGGGACACTTGCTAGCAACAGCATGGGAAAAGAGACTTTTGAGGGAAGAGCGGACCAATTTGCAGGCAAGGTTGGCTTCCCTGGCAGGTTGCGGAGTACATGAAAAGAGTGTCAAAGGCACGTGAGCAGAAGGTCTAAGAGCTGTGACACAGAGCTGAAATTTGGTGTGAAATGGGCCGAAACACTGATGAAATGCGTGGAGAGCGACCGCCACGGAGGTGACTGTCCCAGTCACCCAAAGGGGTTGTCGGTGAAAGTTGGTAGGGCTGTGCGAAGCTTCAGTCCCTGATTTGATTCGGCAGCCGAATCTCCAAATCAAATCGGAAGACCCTTTAATCTCTCCAAATCGAATTGAAACCCTCCAAATCAGCGATTCGGACATAGACACGGGTTTAAATGTCTTCTCCACACGCCTCTGCATAGCAGGTGGCTCGTGAATGCTGCGATGCTGGGGCGCGTGGCGTGTTGTACAGGAACGCAGGGGGGTCCCCAGCACGTTCAGCAGCAAACCCTGAAGTGGACCAGAAGCACTTCTGGGTCCACTGGGGACCACCCTGTGTCCCGCCTGGCTTGGTGACTGGTGCCTCGTGGGTTGGGGGGGCACCTGGGGTTTCCCAGTGGCTGATTGCTGAGCACGGGGGGGGGGCCCCCAGTGCACTCTCCAAAAATGGACTGGAAGTACTTCCAGGGTCACTGCCGAGTGCAGGGGGGCCCTCCACGTGCTCCTGCGGGACTCTCCATGCGCCCCAGCATGGCAGCATTCACAAGCTGTGCTGATACCTCAAGGTATGTAGAAAAATCTCTTAAAGCTGCATCTCTGTCTGAAGTTGCTGATTTGCCGAATCCGAATCTGACTATTTGATGCCGATTCAGCCAAATCTAATCGGGGACAGTGACCCAGATCAACAAATCGAATCGCTGTCCCCGATTCAGGCCGAATCACAAATCGAACAGGGCCCGCTTTGCATACCCTTAAGAGTTGGCAACCAAATAGTAATATTTTTGTGTGAAGGGAAGAAGGATCTTGCATCTTCCTGGAACTTGAGTTCCTTTTTCTTATGGAAACCCTAACCTGTAGAAAACTTTCAACAAACATGAATCTTCATTTTCAATGGTCTTTATCCTAGGTGGATAAAGGTTATGT